AAGCTAGAGATCTTAGTAATGAACACTGGATTTGAAGCTCCCCATACATCTACCCTCATCTTCTCAGTCTCCTCTGCCGTTACTCCCCACCCATTTTAAACTCTAGGTCGAACAGTCGACAGACAATTCTCTGAATTTGTCTCAAGCTTTTCTTCTCTCACATTGTTGCGCACAGGAAATACTGCCTTCCTTTTACCCCCATCAACTCTTTACCTGTTCATATCTTAGTTTTCTTTGAGACCCAGAGAAAAAGCCCAACTCCTTATGCAGTTTTTCCTAGGAAGTAGTATAAATTGTGACACAGCACGCTCGGTAGTGGCATACTATTATCATGGCACTGAGGGCAAACACAAAGGACACAGGGTTAACAATTTTGTTTCCCCTTGTAGAATATAAGATCTGCCTGGGTAAAACTTGTAAGGTCTTAAAAAATTACAGTAATCATTTATTAAAAACATTTATCTGCTTTTAAATTAAATAAACAATTTTAATGCAAACATTCAATAGGGCATCTTTCCCATTGCTCCCAAGATTTCATCTCTTTCTGCTGCTGTAGGCATAGGTGGCTTCACTCCATTTTTGTCTTCTCTGCATCATGACAGAATTCTGCATGTAGGCATAAAAAAAAAAAGAAGAAACCAATATCAGCCATGTATTAAATGTTAATAATTTTCCAGTAATTTGTTATTGCTTCCTCAAAAAGGAAATTCTAAAAACCAAGTTTAAAAAAAAACCCACAAAAAACTAATTGTAGGACTTCCGATAAAGTTTTCAAACTATTATCAATTAAATAGAAGTGATATTCCCACAGGAATACATTAACAGTAATTGGAATGGGGACATGCTGTTTAACTACAGGAGCACAAGAGTACAGTCTATCAATAAAATCGTCAATTAATTTACCAGAGAGAAATAAAATAGCTGAAAGCAATGCTCAGAGAAACAGAAATTACATACCAGTGTCTCAGGAAAAATGGGACCACTTAAACTACCCTGGGTGGTGGCAGGAGAGAAGGCAGAAATGGAAGACTAACATGTGTCATGACAAGACAAATTATCCATTCTGTCCATCTCACAGAGAAATAAAATTATAATAAGGTTATTGTTTTAGGTCTGCAGATACTTATATACCTAGGAATACCCACCTCTATTATTTGAGCTGCATCCTCATGCCTTGGAGTAGGATGAGGCAACTAAGAAAAAGCTCTCAAGGATTGTTTAGGGCTAAAATAACATCCTGAGGATAAAGTCAAAAAATTAAGTTTCCTGTGGGGATGTGCGGACTGGTTGAAAGAAGGTGAAGGTGTTAGTGAAGAACATATATGCATGACCCACGGACATTGGACAATGCTGTGGGGATTGACTGTGGGAGCGGGTGGCAGGCTGTGGGGGGAGCAAAGGGGAAAAAATTGGGACAACTGTGATAACACAAACAATAACATATTTAAATAAAAAAATTAAATTAAATTAAAAAATAAGAAAAAAGAGAAAAAGGTGTTTCCCCACAGCCATCCCAAAGAAAGGATTGTGGATATTAATTAATTTCAGGCTTCAGTTTCAAGCCTAAGATATGGAGTTAGACTATCTCATCAAACCACACTAGACTTACCCAGAATTTCCGGCAGTTCTTGTACTTCAAGAAGTAAGTGGAACACCTTTCCCTGTCATAGTTATTTTCATCCAAACATTTGGCAGAAGCATCAGATTCCTTAAATTATGTAAAATATGCACCATTTAAGAGGTGAAATGGCATCTAAAAAAAAACCCAAAAAACTTCTGAAGTTGCTACCCCCACAAAGCAGCTAATATGAAACAGTTCCTTTTGTTCATTTTAATGAACATTTAATGAACAAAAACTGAATTACCTTTCCAACTCTCCCAAGCATTCACTCTGTTCAGGGCAGACATCTTCCTTTTCATAGTCTGGGTCAGTTTTCTGAATATCTAATCATAGGAATTTGAGCCAAGGCACTGACTGAGATCATTTAACCCAGTAACCATTTAACAAAGAAGCTGTGGCAAGGTGCAACGTGCTGAAAATCATGCTGCACAGCTAGAACCAAAACTGTCTCCCGACTCAGAGTACGGCTTTCCTGTTTTTCCAAGTTCTGACTTTGACTTGAATGTCTGTTGTTAATGCTAGTTTTGAGATCTAAGTAAATTGCTAATAACCGGTCTGCATCAAGGCAATTTAAATTAACACCATTCATCAATACGTTTGCCTATCATTCACTTCATTACACAAGTAAATACAATACTGATAAGAAATTTTAAAGATATCATTAATATCACTTCAAAACTAAAGTGAGCAACACAGGGCTGAGTTGAAGGAGCATGTCATTTGGTAGTTAAATTTAAGTGTCTGAACTGGAAGTAGATTGAATAACAAACTTCAAAGTGAGAGGATTTGACAGGTCACTGTCTAAAGAAAAGCTTTAACTAAAAGGGATAAGCAATTTGCTTCATAGATCTAAGAAATATATTCATCTAAAGAGCCTTAATAAAGCAGTTGAAAACATCAAATATACAGAACAAATTTAAATTTCTATGCCAAATAATTAATGAATGTGAATAGTTGGAAAAATCCATACAATAGGATCAGGGAATATCATTTTATAGCACAGGAACAAATTACATTATTTAAAGGGTGACAAATAAGTATTGCTACTCACACCAAATAAGTGCCAAAAGAGCTTATTAATCAACAAAAAAATTCTGTTTATATGCCTTTGTGAAAACCTTTAGACTTTAAATAGACTAATTCTATATCATCCCTTTACTCTCTCAGCCAGGTGGTCTCAGAGACATGATGAAATTATTGCTATTAACACACAAATTTCAGTGATAATTTAAAAATATCATACTTTCCAACTTTCCATGTTTGGACTAAAATTTTTCCTCAGTGTATACATATATCAGTTTAAAGTATAGTGAAAACTAAATGCTTTACATATTAAATAAATAAGGAAAACTTAAAAGAGTAAATCTTTGTTAGCCAAATTATGCATATCTAAAAATGGTCTAGTGAAATAAGAATACACTGGTTAGAATATATTTTTGTAAATATTAAAACGAATGCAGCCTGCTGTTGGCTCAGTGGACTGAGTGCCAGCCTGAAAACCAAAAGCTGGCTCGTTCGATCCCAGTCAGTGCACATGCCTGGGTTGCCGGCCACGCCCCCGCTGGGAGCATGCAAGAGGCAACCAAGAATTATTCTGCGCCCTGATGTTTCTCCTCTCCCTCCCTTTCTCCCCTCCCATCTCTCTCTAAAAAGAAAGAAAATTTACAAAAAAAGAAAAGACGGGCAGGAAATAGAGTGGAAACAGGGCCAGAAGGAAGAGGGGGTAGAGGTGAAAGTAAAATTGGGTACATGGAGTAATATTGAAAGATTGGTTTATTGATAGCGGGTGATCACATCATAAGGTATATATAAATGTCAACATTATGTTAGCCAAACAATCCGAAATTAATGTCAACTTATACTTTATAAAAATAGCTAAATAAATGTAACAAAGGAGAAAGATCGGGGCGAATATTTATTTGGCAAACAAATCCATAATAAAGCAAACGAGAAAAAAGAAAAAGGATCAAGAAAAAAGATGTAGAGTTTCCAAAATGTCATAAAATTTCGCAAAAAAACATGCACAAGCAAGGATTATGGGTTCCTTTAAAGACAAAGTATCTTTGCACTGAGTAGTTGAAGGCGCTTTGGGATGTTTTCGTCGAGTTGTTCAAATTATATTCTAATATTCCCTTATAATATGATTGATTAGTATAAGGGTGGAAACAACCTTTTAGGTTTCCATCAACCACGAACGTTGAAGAAAAAAAGTTGCCAACGGGGTTTGTTACCAAACAAAAGAAATTCTACTTTCCAATGTTCTATTTAACTGATATTTCGGGTTGAGGAAAAATGCATGCGGTTCAACGCTCTTCGCTAGAAGTATCCTACAAGTTTGTTGATTACTAGAGGTGATAACAGTTTTTGTATATACTCATAGTTAGTCTGGTTGTTCAATGTTACAAAGAGCGAAAAGTGAAAATTTGAAATAATAATTAACTTAAATATTTAGTGATTTTTTGTCAATATATTGTATAGCATGGATAAGCCACCGTCGATAATTCAATCTTTTCTAATTTGTTTTCCACTTACAAGAGAAGACAGCACAATGTATCACTCAGCAAAATGCCACACAGAATGAAGGTCAGCACTGTGCGAAAATTGCCAATCATTGTCATGTTAAAAAAAAGTGTTTAAAGACATACATTTGGTGGATTGGCGTCCTTTAATTTTTGTATCTACTAGCAATTTCATTATGTTTTCAAATATATGAATATAGTCTATTAGAATATCTTGGCTGTTGTCTAAAATATACTAGAAGATTCCTATTTGGAAATGTGAGATGAGAGTTAAGTACGTTTCTTTAAAACAGAATGCTTAGCCAGTTCTCTCTCCAGTGTATGCTACATGAAAATGCATTTTAATTCAATATTAGTCAGGAAATAACCCTAGATAATATCATTTTACAATTAGGTTTGAGCTCCATATTTCTCTGAATTAATAAGTCAATCTAGTTTGGACTTCCCGGTGGAAATGTCGCGAAGGGAGAGGAGGTTTCCTTTCAGAAGGAGAGAAACTCATCGCAGAAAAAAAAAACAAGAAGTTGTAGGAGGGGGCTGCACAAACACATTTGAGTAAAGGGGAGAACTGCTCTTAAAGTATTTGATTTCCCATCGGGGACAGACGGGAAAGAGGGAGGGATCTGGTCTGTGGCTCTGACATATGAACATTAAATGTCGTGAAAACATTGTGTGCAGAAACAGAGTGTGAAAGAGAGGGGGAGACGGCCTTGGGCGAAACGGGGGAGACAAAGAACGAGGGGGAGACGGCATTCGGAGGGGGATCACGGGGTGCCACTCGGATCCGGCAGTTCAAAGTTCAACATGAAGCGGAGAACCGCCGCCGCGCAGGGCACGGACGGACTGTCAGTCTCGCGGCGGCGCGCGCCGATTGGGCTGGTGGCCGCCGGGGAGCGGGGGCAGCACGTTGGGATGCGCGCTACTTAAGGTCCAGCTGCGTGAGCTATTGACGTGTTTGGAGCTGGAGACTGCCGGGTCCCTAGTGGAGTGGCACCCCGAGGTGAGTGGTCCGCGCCCCTCCTTCCGTGGCGGCTGCTGGGAACGGGGAAGAGAGGGCTACACCTGAATCGTCACAGGCCCACGTACACTTCCGCGCGAAGCTGTTTCTACCAGGCCTTGCCGCACTACGGGCCCCTTCCATTCGTTTGTCCTCCCCGCGTTGTGGGTCTGTTCGGCCCCGGGCGAGGAAGTTGACCCATGCCCGGGCACCCCCAGCTGTTTCTTCATCCTCCTTCCCAGCCTTTGAAGCGTCATTGCCAGCACCTACACCCAGTTTCCTTCGTTTTCCTCGCCCCGTGCCCTTCTCGGCGCCGTGGAAGGTTGAAGCAAGGTGTGTTCGCCTGTGCCCTCCATCCACCGTTAGACGGAGAAGCAGCATCGCGGAAGGCAGCAAGGTCTCGGACTTAAATCTCTCCGGTTTCTCCGTTTGAGTTACCCGCCTCCCTCCGGTATGCCACCCTGACTTCCTGACCCTGTCTCTGCACCCAGAAATAGGTGAAGAGCTTCATGTTTTCACACGACATTTTTCAGTTTCCCAATAGTTGCATATGAGTTTTGTCAGAGCCACAGAGCCTGCGTGGCTCTGACCAGCCTGGGAACATGGCCGTAAGGTCCCTTCCCTCTTCCCTTTCAAAGCTACTTGGAGTGGGGATTTGATGGGAAATCAAATACTTTTTAGAGCAGTTCTCCCTTTAGAGAAGATTTTAGAGTTGGTCCTCAAATGTGTTTGTGCAGCCCCTCCTACAACTCTTGTTTTTTCTTTCTGGCAAGTAGAGGTTTCTAACCTTTGTTTGGCACCTTCTGAAAGTAAATAGATGAGACCTCTCTAGCAGAACACTGGATCTTGCCCTTCAGCCCAGCTTCTCACTGTAAATTGACATTTCCGGTTTATACAGGAGGAATTTATGCAAAGAAGGTGACTTGCGGAAGTCCAAACTTAGATTGACTTGTATTTAGAATTCAGAGGGAAAAGGAAATGAAATATGAATGTGAATAAACTCACGCTGCAAACCTAATTTGGGTATAAGTGATGTTATCTAGGGGTTATTTCTAAAGGATTCCTGACTAATGATGAAGATTAAAAAAATGCAGAGTAGGAGGTTTTCATGTAAGGCATGCAAGCTGAGTTTTGTCTGTGGCTGGTGGTGGTTGAGATTATCTCGAAGGAATAGGAACAGCTAAGCAGAGTTCTGTGTTCTCACAAAATGAGATAGAGGTAAAAAGCAAGGCTGTGCAGTTACTTAGCATCATCATCTCTCTAGGAAGTCAAGCCTGCAAAAGAATTGTGTTCAGTAGAGGAAGATGCTTCTAGATATATTTGAACAGCATCTTAAATATCCTTTTTGCCAAGATGTTTCTTTTAACTAGATATATTCATATATTGTTCAATGAAAAACATAAAGTGAAAGGATTACTTAGTAGGTACAAAAAGTTAAAGGACGCCAGAATGATTAAGCTTTTTTCCATCCTTTTTTGGAAATGTTGGTCTCTTTTAGCCTAGACAACCTGATCTTTCCCATAATAGAAGAAACCAGACTAATTAGGTGACTCTTGATTGAGAATATTCCACTTTTCTGGAGCTTGTGAGGTTTGATTATTTTTCCTAAATTACTTTACTTACTTTTTTTAACATGACATATTTTTTGATGGTTCCATCTTGGGCAAGGAAAGTAGAAACCATTTCATACACAAGTTCTGACCTCTGTCTGGTTATGCTGACGTAGTTTTTCATTCTGTGGCATTTTGTAAGTGATACTACATTATTTGCTGTCTTCTCCTTCAGGCTGTAAGTGGAAAACGATTAAGTTAGAAGAAGATTCGGGAAATATTTTTGGGTGGCTTATCCATGCTATACAATATATTGAAACAAAAAAAATCACTTTGAAATATTTAAGTTAATTATTGTTTAAAATTTTTTTCCTTTTAGTTCCTATGACGTCTTTGAAGATAACAGGCATACCAATTTTAATTGAACTCCATTATAAAGAGCAATTGTCCTGGGATATAGTTCACATATCTATGAGTATATAATTTCACTTCGATTCACTAATTGACTCTCAGGAAACTGTTATCACCTCTAATCAATAAAGACTTTTGTAGGATGTATCTATAAGGCTTGAGCTGAAACATTAATGAACCACATAGCATTCCCTGATTCCTTCAACCCAGAAGTATCAGTTAAATAGAAGACATTGGAAGTAAAGTTTCAGCTTTTTAAAAAAACTGTTTGAAATGTCAACTAAGCAGTAACTTTGTTTTTTGGTATATTGGCCACTCCAGTGCTGGCCACAGTGTAGGCATTCCTGTCTGGTAGTTGATAAATGTTTTTGCTAAAGTTGGGTTGTACTCAATTATTCCACCCTTGCTTTGTATACTAATCAATGTATTATAAGGAAGTAACTGTTAGAGCACATGCTGTATTCTTAGGCTTTGTTAGTATAATTAATTGCTTAACCTTTAGAAATAAGAATAAGCTAAAACTGAATAGTAATTGAACTATCTTTCATTTTGGACATTATAATCAAATTTCAGTAGATACATTTAAATATGGCCTTTGTACTGAGGCACCATAGAAATGCAAAGGAAAAGCATATCCAAGTCCTTACTGTCAAAATCAGGCTACATGAAGTTCCTCACTAGGCAATCATTATTCCAGAATTAATTTTCAATTACTTAAGGGGCAAATGAGATTTATTGATTTATTTTATGACATCCAATGTATAACTCTTTTCCCCAACATCTACTACCTTCAGTAAGAAGACTGTTAGGATGCCAGTGGTAACACGGAGACTGAGGGATCCTGACATAAATCCTTGCTTGTTGGTAAGGTGGTTTACTTTTAATTTTTATGAGCATTAAGTTGGAAAAACAGGCTGCTTCTGATTTTGTGGACATCTGTTTTCTTACGGTCCTTTTTTCTTTTTTCTCAGTTTGCTTTTTAATTTTAATGGGATTTTTTCAAATGTAGACGTTTTATATTTCCTACCCAGAAATCCAATAAATATTCACTTAGGTCTTTTACTCCTTTTGTTTATTATTATAATACATTTATTTAGCTATTTTTATTAAAGTATAATTGACATTAATTTCAGTTGTACAACATAGTGATTTGACATTTATATATACCTTATGATGTGATCACCACAATAAGTCTAATTTAAAAAAACCATCTTTCACCATAAGGTATTACTGACTGCATTACCTGTGCTGTATATTACATCCCTGTCATTTATTTTATTACTGGCAGTTTTTTCCTTCACTTTTTTCACCCATCCTCCTACCCCTCTTCCTTCTGGCAGCCATCAGTTTCTCCTTTGTATCTACCAATCTGTTTCTATTTCCTGCCATTCTTTTTCTTTTTTTTAGTAAAAGATTTTATTTCTTTCTTTTTAGAGAGCAGAGATGGGAGGGAGAAAGGGAGGGAGAGGAGAAACATCAGGGCGCTAGAGATACATTTCTTGGTTGCCTCTTGCATGCTCCCAGCGGGGGACGTGGCCTGCAACCCAGGCATGTGCACTGACTGGGAATCGAACGAGCCAGCTTTTGGTTTTCAGGCTGGCACTCAGTCCACTGAGCCACACCAGCCAGGGCCTGCCATTCGTTTTAAAGTTATTTCCGTACAAAAATATATTCCTAACCAGTGTATTCTTATTTCACTAGACCATTTTTAGATATGCATAATTTGGCTAACAAAGATTTATCTCTTTTAAGTTTTCCTTATTTATTTAATATGTAAGCATTTAGTTTTCACTATACTTTTAAACTGATATATGTAACACTGAGGAAAAATTTTAGTCCAAACATGGAAAGTTGGAAAGTATGATATTTTTAAATTATCACTGAAATTTGTGTGTTAATAGCAATAATTTCATCATGTCTCTGAGACCACCTGGCTGAGAGAGTAAAGGGATGATATAGAATTAGTCTATTTAAAGTCTAAAGGTTTTCACAAAGGCATATAAACAGAATTTTTTGTTGATTAATAAGCTCTTTTGGCACTTATTTGGTGTGAGTAGCAATACTTATTTGTCACCCTTAAATAATGTAATTTATTCCTGTGCTATAAAATGATATTCCCTGATCCTATTGTATGGATTTTTCCAACTATTCACATTCATTAATTATTTGGCATAGAAATTTAAATTTGTTCTGTATATTTGATGTTTTCAACTGCTTTATTAAGGCTCTTTAGATAGAATATATTTCTTAGATCTATGAAGCAAATTGCTTATCCCTTTAGTTAAAGCTTTTCTTTAGACAGTGACCTGTCATAATCCTCTCACTTTGAAGTTTGTTATTCAATCTACTTCCAGTTCAGACACTTAAATTTAACTACCAAATGACAGCTGCTCTCCTTCGAACTCAGCCCTGTGTTGCTCACTTTAGTTTTGAAGTGATATTAATGATATCTTTTAAAATTTCTTACTCAGTATTGTATTTACTTGTGTAATGAAGTGAATGATAGGCAAACGTACATTGAGATGAATGGTGTTAATTTAAATTGCCTTGATGCAGACCGGTTATTAGCAATTTACTTAGATCTCAAAACTAGCATTAACAACAGACATTCAAGTCAAAGTCAGAACTTGGAAAAACAGGAAAGCCGTACTCTGAGTCGGGAGACAGTTTTGGTTCTAGCTGTGCAGCAGTGATTTTCAGCACGTTGCACCTTGCCACAGCTTCTTTGTTAAATGGTTACTGGGTTAAATGATCTCAGTCAGTGCCTTGGCTCAAATTCCTATGATTAGATATTCAGAAAACTGACCCAGACTATGAAAAGGAAGATGTCTGCCCTGAACAGAGTGAATGCTTGGGAGAGTTGGAAAGGTAATTCAGTTTTTGTTCATTAAATGTTCATTAAAATGAACAAAAAGGAACTGTTTCATATTAGCTGCTTTGTGGGGGTAGCAACTTCAGAAGTTTTTTGGGTTTTTTTTTTAGATGCCATTTCACCTCTTAAATGGTGCATATTTTACATAATTTAAGGAATCTGATGCTTCTGCCAAATGTTTGGATGAAAATAACTATGACAGGGAAAGGTGTTCCACTTACTTCTTGAAGTACAAGAACTGCCGGAAATTCTGGGTAAGTCTAGTGTGGTTTGATGAGATAGTCTAACTCATATCTTAGGCTTGAAACTGAAGCCTGAAATTAATTAATATCCACAATCCTTTCTTTGGGATGGCTGTGGGGAAACACCTTTTCTCTTTTTTCTTATTTTTTAATTTAATTTAATTTTTTTATTTAAATATGTTATTGTTTGTGTTATCACAGTTGTCCCAATTTTTTCCCCTTTGCTCCCCCCACAGCCTGCCACCCGCTCCCACAGTCAATCCCCACAGCATTGTCCAATGTCCGTGGGTCATGCATATATGTTCTTCGACTAACACCTTCACCTTCTTTCAACCAGTCCGCACATCCCCACAGGAAACTTAATTTTTTGACTTTATCCTCAGGATGTTATTTTAGCCCTAAACAATCCTTGAGAGCTTTTCTTAGTTGCCTCATCCTACTCCAAGGCATGAGGATGCAGCTCAAATAATAGAGGTGGGTATTCCTAGGTATATAAGTATCTGCAGACCTAAAACAATAACCTTATTATAATTTTATTTCTCTGTGAGATGGACAGAATGGATAATTTGTCTTGTCATGACACATGTTAGTCTTCCATTTCTGCCTTCTCTCCTGCCACCACCCAGGGTAGTTTAAGTGGTCCCATTTTTCCTGAGACACTGGTATGTAATTTCTGTTTCTCTGAGCATTGCTTTCAGCTATTTTATTTCTCTCTGGTAAATTAATTGACGATTTTATTGATAGACTGTACTCTTGTGCTCCGTTAGTTAAACAGCATGTCCCCATTCCAATTACTGTTAATGTATTCCTGTGGGAATATCACTTCTATTTAATTGATAATAGTTTGAAAACTTTATCGGAAGTCCTACAATTAGTTTTTTGTGGGTTTTTTTTTTTAAACTTGGTTTTTAGAATTTCCTTTTTGAGGAAGCAATAACAAATTACTGGAAAATTATTAACATTTAATACATGGCTGATATTGGTTTCTTCTTTTTTTTTTTTATGCCTACATGCAGAATTCTGTCATGATGCAGAGAAGACAAAATGGAGTGAAGCCACCTATGCCTACAGCAGCAGAAAGAGATGAAATCTTGGGAGCAATGGGAAAGATGCCCTATTGAATGTTTGCATTAAAATTGTTTATTTAATTTAAAAGCAGATAAATGTTTTTAATAAATGATTACTGTAATTTTTTAAGACCTTACAAGTTTTACCCAGGCAGATCTTATATTCTACAAGGGGAAACAAAATTGTTAACCCTGTGTCCTTTGTGTTTGCCCTCAGTGCCATGATAATAGTATGCCACTACCGAGCGTGCTGTGTCACAATTTATACTACTTCCTAGGAAAAACTGCATAAGGAGTTGGGCTTTTTCTCTGGGTCTCGAAAGAAAACTAAGATATGAACAGGTAAAGAGTTGATGGGGGTAAAAGGAAGGCAGTATTTCCTGTGCGCAACAATGTGAGAGAAGAAAAGCTTGAGACAAATTCAGAGAATTGTCTGCCGACTGTTCGACCTAGAGTTTAAAATGGGTGGGGGAGTAACGGCAGAGGAGACTGAGAAGATGAGGGTAGATGTATGGGGAGCTTCAAATCCAGTGTTCATTACTAAGATCTCTAGCTTTCACTGATCTTTGTTTAAATTAGGTTAGTATATTCACTAGTCAGAGAACGGGCGCAGGAAGGTTGCCTGGAAGTACATAGCATGCAAAAGAACTGGTTTTAAGGAAAGGCATGGTTAAAGGATTCTGTAACTAAAATCCATAAATATTGGATAAACTTCTGAAGGCATAGTATTTTTGAACTATGATGAGGGGAGAAAAAGTGGTTCTCTTAGAAGTAGGATTTCTATTTTCAGTATGAGATGGGCGTAGAAGTTGTATGGGGTTCATCAGGTGAACACAACACTGGAATGAAACTAGAGCTCAACTTCAATTTAGGATATAAAAGCAATATTCAATATGGTGACTGGGATGGATTGTGCAGCAGCTTTCATACATACCATTTTTAAAGTCCAGTTTGTTTCATTTAAGGACTAGTTTTGTAAAATAAATTTAATGGAAATCAAAAACATAGTTTGTGTCCCTTTCATCTGGTCCATGATCATCAAGAGTATAATTTTATGACCATTGACAACAAACTATCCATCTCATTGGTCTTAGTCTAAAACTCAGCTCAGATACTTTGAGGCACGGGACCTTGATTGTTAAATGTGATTTCATCTAAATAAAATATGATTTCATTTTGAGTAAAATTCTGTTTGAATTTCTGGATTGTTTCAGAAATTCTTTTATTTTTATTCATCAGTAAAAATGATGGATTAAAATAGCACCTGACAAGAAATTAATACATACTTGTGGAAGAAGCATTTCAGTACTTTTAAGCATCGTTGCTTAAGGGTTTGGGATTTTAATGTCACCTATGCAAATGTTCACACCAATATCAACATTCATTTTGTAGCTATTTGTCCTGGCCTAGCTCTTTTTTTTTAAAACAGCAACTGCATTGAGATACAACGTATGTAAGTCTCCTAAAGTGGACAGTACTACAGTGGTTTTTAATATATTGACAATGTTGTACAACCTTCCCCACAGTTGGTTTTAAAACACATCACCCCAGGAAGAAACCTTATATCCATTAGCGCACATTCTCTATTTCCTCCTAACACCAGTTTTCCTCCCCACCTACCCAAAATTTAGGAAAGTACTCATGTACTTTTTTTTTCTCTAGAATTGCCTGTTCTGGACACATATATATATATATATATATAAATGGAATCATAATATGTGGTCTTTTGTGACTGGCTTCTTTCATGTAGCCTCATGTTTTCAAGGTTCATTCATCCATCAGTACTTTATTTCTTACCCTATTTATTACTGAGTAACGTTCCATTGCACAAATACACTACATTTGATTGATCAGTTCATCAGTTGAGTTTGAGTTGTTTCCACTGTTTCACTAATATGGGTCATGCTGTTTTTTTAAAGTATATTTTATTGATTATGCTATTACAGCTATCCCATTTTTTTCCCCCTTTGCTCCCCTCTACCCCCATTCCCTACAGATATCCCTCCCACTTGGTTCATGTCCATGGGTTGTACATACAAGCTCTTTGGCTTCTACATTTCCTGTACTATTCTAAACTTCCCCTTGTCTATTTTGTACCTGTCATTTATACTTATTCCCTGTACCTTTCCCCCTATTCTTCCCCCTCCCTCCTCTCTGCTCATAGCCTTCCATTGTAATCTTAATTTCTATGATTCTGTTCTAATTGTTTGCTTAGTTTTTGTTTTGCCTTTAGGCTCAGTTTGTTGTCATTTTGATGTTCATAGTTTTGATCTTTTTCTTAGACAAGTCCCTTTAACATTTCACATAATAATGGCTTGGTGATGATAAACTCCTTTAGCTTTACCTTGTCTGGGAAGTAGTTATCTGCCCACCCATTCTAAATGATAGCTTTGCTGGATAGAGTAATCTTAAAGGTAGGTCTTTGCTTTTCATGACTTTGAATACTTCTTGCCAGTCCCTTCTTGCCTACAAGACTTTTTTTGATAAATCAACTGGTAGTCTTATGGGAATTCCTTTGTAGGCAACTGTCTCTTTTTGCTGCTTTTAAGATGATTGTTTTTTTAAAAAATTTTATTCTAGAGAGAGGGAAAAGGAGAAAGGGAGAGAAACATCAATGTGTGGTTGCCTCTCACATGCCTCCAACTGAGGACCTGGCCCAGAAGCCAGGCATGCCCTGACTGGGAATCGAACCAATGACCCCTAGGGTCACAGGCTGGCACTCAATCCACTGATCCATGCCAGCCAGGGCAAGATTCTCTCTTAATCATTAGCCTTTGGCATTTTAATTATGGTGAGTTTTGGTGTGGCTCTCTTTGGGTCCAACTTGTTTGAGACTCTGAGCTTCCTGGACTTGTGTGTCTATTTTCTTCACCAAATTGGTGAGGTTTTCTTTCATTTTTTCAGATGAGTGTTCAATTTCTTGCTCTTCCTCTTCTCCTTCTGGCACACCTATGATTTGGATGTTGGTACAGATAAAGTTGTCCTAGAGGTTCCTAAACCTCTCTATTTTTTTGAATTCTTATCTCTTCTTTCTGTTCTGGGTGAATGTTTATTTCTTCTATTTGTTCCAAATTGTTCATGTTCAAATCAAGCCAAATTGTTGGCTTCCTTCCCTTCACTGTTGGTTCCCTGTATATTTTTCTTCATTTCACTTTGCATAGCCTTAATTTTTCCTTTGTTTTGTGGCCATAATCATTTCTGTGAGCATCCTGCTTACCAGTGTTTTGAACTCTGCATCTGCTAGTTTGGCTATCTCTTTGTTGCTTAGTTCTTTTTCTGGATTTTTGATCTGTTCTTTCATTTGGGCCATGTTTTTTTTTTCTTCTCAATTTGCCAGCACACCTGTTACATTGAAAGGGGCGGAGCCTTAGGTACTTGCCAGCGTCGGGCAACTCACTTCACCACATTGTTGTGCTGTATGTTTTGGAGGCATCAGAGAGGGAACAATGCTGCTTGCTCAGCTCTCACCCCACTTTCTGCAAGCGACTGACACCCTTCCAACTGCTGCCCTGGTGATGATTCCTTGAGCGGGTGGGCTTGTGCACGTTCTAGGACCCCTTAAGCTCCTCAAACAGACTCTCCTGAGAAATGCAATTTCTTCTGCTGCCGCAACCCCCCAGAGGTTTTTATAGCCAGAGGTTATGAGGCTTTCTCTTCCTGGCGCTGGAACCCTCGGTTGCGAGGTCTGTCCTGAGGCTGGGGTTGCTTGCTCCCCAGTTGTCCCCCCTGTTTTTTTCCACACATGACTATGGGACCACCCATTCTGCTGGCCATGGCCACCTTGCCGCATGCATCCTCTCTACCCTGGCTGCTCCTCTCCACAACCTCCTACACATCTGGATAAATGTTTCTTTTTTAACTCTTTGGTCGTTGGACTTCCATACAGTTTGATTCTCTGGCAGTTCTTGTTGTTTTTGTTTTTAGGTTGGTTGTTAATCCTTCTTTTGGTTGTGAGAGAAGACAAATCTATCTATCTGTGTGCTCCATCTTGGCTGGAAGTCCTGTTTCTTGAATATTTGTATGAGTTTTTGTGTGGGCATTCATTTCTTTTTGGAATGCCTGAGAATTGATGCGCTGGGTCATATGGTAACTATATTTAATCTATTGAGGAACTGACAAAGTATTTTCCAAAGTGGCAGCACCATTTTACAATTTATGAGAGCTCCAATTTCTCCACATCCTCATTAACACTTATTATCTGCCTTTGATTACAACCATCCTAGTGAGTGTAAACTGGTATCTCATTGAGGTTTTGATTTGCATTTCCATGATGGCTAATGAGGTTGAACATCTTTTCATGTGTATTTTGGCCACTTTTACATATTTTCTGGAGAAATATTTATTCAGATCCATTGCCCATTTTCAAATTGGTTTTTTTATCCTTATTATTGAGTTGAAGGAATTCCTTATATATACTAGATACAAGTCTCATCTTATCAGATACGTGAGTTGCAGTTTTTTTTCCTCCCATTCTGTGGGTTGTATATGGTGTCCTTTGAAACACAAAAGTTTTTAATTTTGATGAAATCCCATTTATTTTTATCTTTTGTTTTTGGTGTCACATCTTAGAAAATATTGCCTAGTTCAAGGTTATAAAGATTTATATCAATCTTTTCTTCTAAGTGTTTTGTGGTTTTAGCTCTGATATTTAGGTCTTTGATTTGAATTAATTTTATATATGCTGTGGAGCAGGAGTCCAAGCTGATTCTTTTGTATGTGGCTATCCAGTTGACCTAGCACCATTTGTTGGAATGACTGCTTTCCTTTATTAAATCGTCTTATCACTCTTGTGTAAATCAACTGATTGTGTTTGTGGGAGTGTATTTCTGGACTTCCAGTTCTATTCCATTGATGGATATGTCTATCCTTATGCCAGCACCACACTGTCTTTATTACTGTACCTTTGTAGTAATGCATAGCTCTTTGATGATTGGTTTCTGTAAATGTGTTTTCTATGAAGTGTTTTTAATGACAGACTAATTGTTTGGGTGCTTTTGATCAGCAGACCCTTAACATGTAATCATAATATGTCTCCACCCACGTGAAGCTGTTAAATTCTAATTTAGTCTACAATAATTTCCTAATTCCTTATTTTCA